CCATCTTTTTTAAAAAATCACTGTGGACATGTGGATCCTTTTAATGCAGTTAGAACTCATTACCATCCTTAATCTTTCATGTTTTGAGTAATTTATTTCTGTTTCTGTTGGCCTTGTCGGGAGTGAAGATACACGGCAGGACATAGAAACCAGCGCCTCTCACGCTCAGTTCAATGGCACCGGGTGCCTTCTTACAGGGGCTCAACTCTTCTCACGCTCCTCTCCTGAACTGTTCCTCCTCCATTAACATTAACTCACCACCCCTAGGACTCCTATCTAATCTTTCCAGCTGCTGCTGCCACCTCGCTCCCATAGAGAGCCCTTAGAAGAGCACAATCCTCAAGGCAGACGGTCTTTACCAGTTAAACTACTGGTTAACTACTGTTTTGTTTTAAGAAGATTTCAGGGGACATGTTTTCAGTATAAGGTTTAAAGATTAACTCGGGGCAATATTTTCAGGGGTTCATCCTACCTCAATGGCTCTAGAAAGTCTAAATTTGATGAAATTTGAAATCCTGTTCTGTATTTCCTCTATTTTGATCGCAACTCTTCTACAGACTTTCTGATCAAAATGCTCAGTACTGGTAGCCAAGCACCATGCAGTTCTGGTCTCTTGGCAAAGGAGGCAGTTAGCTGTTCACAGAGCTACTTATCCACATATCCATTTCTTCCTCCTCTTTATTTTTTCCTGACGATCAAATTGTCAAAAGTAACCAGGAAAAACCCTCCCAAACCAGTTCCTGCAACCTTATGTATTTCCAACATTCGCTAAGCACTTCCTTACTCACTGGCTCAGTAAGATTCTCCAGGACCACACTGCCCTGAACTGGAATGGGCCACTTCTCCTAAGAGCCCTGGTTCCTTTTACAGGGGAATGCATTTTAGAAACCAAGCCTTGGGTACGAGAGGTCTCACTGCTACTGGGGTATCACTGCTTCCAGGACCTTTCGATAGGCAGAACTAAGACAGGTAGATACCGTTTTAAAATCTCATTTATGGTCACCAATTATAGTGCAAACTGATATTAAGTCCTCCTGATATGATGGAAGAGGAAGCACACACCATCATTTATGCAGGACTCTTACCAAAAATGTTTAATCTGAATCTAATACTGAAGACCTAACTAGATAGATCCAACTGTGGGATAGCCTTAAAAAAGAAAAATTAAGGTATAATCTTAAGTCTCTCTCTCTCACATCACACATACATAAGCACAACTGGGGGAACTATTCCAGATTACAGGCAACAATTTAATGTGTGATTCATGATTAGTTAGGCCTTCAATCAAAAATACTAAACTAAACCATACACACAAAAGGACATTCCTGGGACTACTGGGAAATTTTGAATATGGATTATGGGACTATGCACTAGATGATAATATTATATCCATTAAATTTTTTGTGATTATAGTATTATGTTTACGCAGGAGAATGGCCTTGTTCTTAGCAGATACAAGCTAAAGGATTCATGAGTAAAATGGCTGTTGTCTACAATTTATTTTCAAATAGTTCTACAAAAAACAATTTGAATGTGTAAACACAGTAAGAAAACACAAGAAAGAAATGCAAATGTGGCAAAATGTTAGTAACTGGTAAATCTACGTGAAAGGTATGGACATTCTAAGTGAAGAGTATAAAAGGTGTTCATTTTATTTCTTTTAACTTTTCTGTAGGTTTGAACTTTTTCAAAGTAAGAAATTAGGCAAGAAAAGGTACTAAGTACCCTAAAGTAAGAAAACAGATACTGGGGGTTTGAACTTCACAGTGACCAGTCAGTTACTTTATAATCTGTCGCTCATTTTATTCTTTACTTAGGTTTTACGTGCTGAAAGGGGGAAGAAGACCAAAGTCCGCCTTTGGCGTCTGAACATTGCAGTCAATCTATCAAATTTAGAGAGCTCCTCAAAGCTCTACAACCTCCTGAAACTGTGTGTAAGATGTTGTGTTGAGAAAATTAGCAACATTCTGGGGAGAAACTTCATAGCTTTCTCTAATTCTCAAAGATGAAAGCAATATGTCACGCCCCCCCCAAAAAAAGAGTTTAAAACCACTATTCTTCCTGTAATGTATCTAATTTGCAGCTCAAGAACACTCTAGAGCAGAAGTCAGCAGACTTTTCCTGTAAGAAAAAAACAGTACACTATACGACGGCCTTGCAGGCCGTGAATTTCTGTCACTGCTATTCAACCCTGCTGGTGCAGTGCAAAAGCAGCCATAGATAATACATACATGAACGGATGGAGCTGTGTTCCAGTAATACTTTACTTACAAAAGCAGGAGGCGGGCCAGATGTAACACAGGCTGTAGTTTGCCAACCACTGCTGTAGTTTAGACTAAGCCTGCAGGGCAGTGTAATATCTGAGGGTGGCTCTCGCTCCAGTCCCCACCCCTCCACTCCTCCATTTCTGTCATGCTACTTTCCTAATGGCTTCCAATTGTCTATAGTTTCTCAAAGTGTGGTCCCTGGGTGTCCTTCTTCAAGGGAATCTGAGGAGGTTCTTGTTCAGTGTGCAAACACCAGAGCCTAATGCCATCCTGCTATAATCACAATCCCTGGGAAAGCGTATTCAAGTAATCCTCTGTACCTTATGGTTTCAGTCACTGTCTACAGGACAAGATTCATGGCATTCAGGCACTCGCCACTTCAGTCTCAACACGCTCATGCAGCCTCATCTCTCACCACACACACTGCTTACCACCTCCCTAAATGCGTGACTCTACAACACTGCTGGGCCCCCTTTGTGCTCTCCTCTCCTCTGGAATGCTACTCCACAGACTCCACCCAGCTCCCACGGCTGATGATTTCCTCTCACTACAACCAGACCGCCCGAGACAGACACCACGCGTTTTCTCTTTCTAGGTCTGCTGTGGGGCGTTTTCTCACCTTCATGGCAGCTGCTAATCTTCCTCTGTGTGAAACCACTTGGGGATTAACACAAGGTCTACGTGGAGACTGTATAAAGTACCAAACTCCATACTCACACATCAATGAGGTCAGGTTTCAGTACTGATGGCACAGCAGTCTCAATGTTGTACAACTTTATCTGAGATCCATACAGAGTGACTTTGACCAATCTGTTGGCAAAGAAGCAGGTCAGAAAGATCATTCAGCTTATGGACTAAAACAAACAAATGGACAAGGCAATAAAAGTCCGAGAACATACCAGGATTACTTTTCACATAAAAACAGAATCAAGACCAGACCTTCAATTCTATCCCAAAGAAATAATCTAAGATGTGCACAGGTTTATATAGAAGGATATCAATTAAAGCATTATTTACAATGTCAAAAATTTTGAAAACATGTAAATATCCAACAGAGGACAGATATAGTGCAATATAATACAGACAATAATAACAATGGCTAGAAGAATATTTAATGACAAATTGTGGTAGTTAAGGTTATGTGTCAAACTGGCTGGCCCTGGTATGGAGTGGCTGGGCAGCTGGACGTAGTTATTCCCCATGATGAGACTGGTAATCAACTCCATGGTGGAATCTTCAGTGAGCAACTGAGTAGTTGCCTTAGGGATATGGCTTGCTTCTAGTATATAAGGAGAAGTTTTGAGAAAGGTCTCTGCAGCTTTTTGGCACACGTGGACCCTGCATGTAGCCGAGTGTCATGCCCTGCCAATCGTGGGACTGTCTCTGGACTTGAACTATTGGCCTGCCATGCTGTTTGGTAACATTGGGACTGTGCCATTTCATCTGCCAACCTTGGGTTGTCAGCCTCAGCAGCCAGCAGCTGCCTGAGTGAAGAGATGCCTCTAGCTCCAGTGGGGCAGGAGCAAGAGGCTTAGCTGAAGCCCAAGGTTGAGGGCCTTTACCCAGCCCCTAGAGTTTGGCACTTTAAACTTGAACTTCTAGTCTCCTAAACTGTAAGAGAATAAATCCATGTTTGTTAAAGCCCTCCATTTGTGGTCTGTCAAAGAGGTACTAGAGAACCAAAACACAAATATTTAAGATACTTAAAACATGCAAACGCTACAACAAATACATATACAGCATATACCCCTATTTTGTTATAAAAATGTATGTCTGTCAACAGAAAAGGCTGGAAGAATGTTCACCAAAGCATGCCTACTGGTTACCACTTGCTTTAAGGGTAGGACAGAATGGGTAGATTATGGATGCTTTTTTCCCCCTCTCCTTTTCTGTATTTCCAAATTGTCTATCATGAATATATAATACTTTTACCAATGAGGTGGAGCATATACGATTATTTTTAAAAAAAGCAAACCTGCTCTTCTGACAATTTATCTTAGTAAGTTGGTGTGGTGCAGTGAAATAAATGCTTGATAGGGCTCTCCCAGCCATGGTGTTTGTGCCTCACCAGATGACTGGGTAAACTACACAAATGTGAGGTGCTTGTGCCCCACAAGGGGACTGGATAGCTTGTCAGTAATGTAAATAAGGTACATGGCACCCTCGTGGGGGTGGGACCAGGGAAATAAAGTACATGGAACCCTAACATGAGGCTTAAAATGACCCATCCCAGAGGCAGAAAAACAGGATCTCACTATCATCAAGGAATAGCAGCCAGGAGTGGAGCACGTCCTTGGACCCAAGATCCCTGTGCAGAGATGGCAGAGAGACAGCAGCAGCAGAGGCAACAGAACCCAGAGACCAGCACAAGAGAGCAGCAAGCTTGCTGGCCCACGGAGCAAGAGAGCTGAGTGCCTTTGGGCAGAAGGCTGCAGGTAGTAGAGTGGGGTGTACCTATCAGCAGAGCTAAAAGAGCTTTGTAACACTCACTTGAGCGGGGCAGAGGCCAGACCAAGAGGCCAAGGCATGCCTTTGGCCATGGCACAGGGAAGGCTGTCCTGGTTGGAGAACTATATCCTGAGTGTTCCTGAACCTGATTTGTAGATCTATTGCTTCTCTAATTCACCATTCACCCCATAATCATGAGTATTGTCTGTGAGTTCTCTGTGGCCATGGCAACAAATTATGAACCCAGCAGAGAAGTAGAGAGTGCAGTGGGAGGGACAACTGGTCTCAGAATTGGTGAAAAGGTCGGAGGGTGGTGGAATGTCTGACTCCCGCTTCACAGGAAGCAGCCTTGGACTGCTGCAGGGGATCTTAACCCTCCTGCCTGCCTCGTGAAGTCACAAGGTCAGATGAGTCCCCCAGGCCCTTTCTGCAGTTGGCAAACATTTTCCTATCTAATTTGTCATGATGATAAAACTATGTTAGCTTTTGTTTAAAATCATTTTTTTAAAGTAAATATTTTAAATGGACATACGATAAAGCAAATATAGAACAGTGTTTACTGTAGAACCTAGGTGGTAGCTAAATGGGTGTTTCCTGTACTGTTCTTTCAACTTTTCTTGAAACAGGGGTGGGAAGGAATAAATGTTTCTAGAAGACACTGAGCATTTTAAACTTTAAATACAATTCTGTCAAAAGCAAGCTGGGGAGCCCACTGGTTGCTCAAGGGCTCACTGGATACAGATGAGCACTAAATTCTAGACCCAAGGTCAGGTCTATTGAGAAGTGGAAACTGCTGCTCTCACTACAGATAGAAAATTACTCTTTTCTGACTGGGGAAAAAAAAATCGGAGACTTGGGTAACTTTCCTGTGTCCACTCTTTCAGGCAACAGTGCCAGGGAAGACAGTGTGCTCTGCTCCCTCAGGCCTGGACAGCAGTTTCTCAAACTCCACTGACAACAAGAATCACCTGGGAATTCTGGACAAATGCAAACTCCCTGGACCTGCCCCACGGCCACGTGCAGGTACAAGCAGTGGTCTGGAAATCTGTACCTCGGAAAAGCATCCAGGGCGCTGATGCACAGGGAGCACATTCTGAAACATGTTCCTCTGAGGGGGGGAGGAAGCAGGACTTTATTCCAAGTAGAAAACCATGGGCTTAAGCCCCAAATGGTTTGGGGTTGGGGAATAATCGGAAAGGGGCCTTGGCAGTCAAAAGATAGTAAGGGTAAAAGAGCCAAGGGTTGTCAATTTGAGACCCTGGAAGGCAGATGGATGGTGACAAGCAGGAATCAAAACAGTTACTCTCAGTAAAAAATACACCAACTCGCACCTGGTGTTCAATTCTATAAATACTGTTCTACACTGAAAATGTGTCTCTTAATAGAAATCGATGATCAGTGGTTTGAATAGTAGGTTTTGTTTTATGTAACCTGTAAGTAACAACCCTGCTCATCACAACAACTATTGAGACCATGCAGCCATTAACAAGAAGCCTTCTCTCAAAGTTGATCCTAAATGAAGACAAACAGTAAAGTATCTTTAAGGGCCGAGCTTGCAAACCTAAGCAGAAAAATAAAGACCTATAAAATAATGCTTTAAGATCTCTAAGTAACTTCACTACAAAGTTGTGATGCATGATATACTGCTTAACAGAGAATACATTCAAATAACGGTATCTTATCTATGGATTTCAAACAGGAAGACACGTCCTCTGAACATACAGTGGAAAGAGGTCTAACACGGAAAGAACAGAGAAAAACAGACTCTGAAAGTGGAAGCTCTACAGTCTGGAAAAGAGCATTTAAGATCAGGAAACTGGTTAAAACCCACGGGCTGCCTCTTCCAAGCTGTGTGACCTGACGCTAGGTACCGATCACTCTGAGCCACCATCTCCTCAATGATCAGACGGCATTAACTCGCTCTCAAAGGATAAAATAAAATGAAAACACACAAAAACACTTTGGAAAGTTTCAGAATACTGTATATTGCTTTATTATTGATACTAACCTGGCTTTTAAAAAACTCATTTAAAATTCTTAGTTATCTAAGATGTAACTGTTACAGAAAAGCCTGCTACACAAGTAACCAGGCACCTGGGGCTTGGTTTCCATCTCCATGCTCCCCGTGCAGCTGCAAGGCCAGGGAAAGCATCAAGTGTCTTGGCTTTGGGCTGGATCCACACCCACTCAGTTCTGGGCTAATCAACTCCACAGTTATCTTCAAATGGTCTGACCTTTGAGATTACATCTGACTTTTTAAAAAGTTTTATGTGTTGTTGTTTTTGTTGAGAATATACGCAGAACTACACCAGTTCAATAATCTCTACCTGCACAATTCAGTGACAATGATCACTTTCTAGCTGTATAATCACTCTCACCCTCCTTTTCAGAGTTACTCCTCCTGTGTTACTATAAAGTCACTGCCCTCAAGGGTTTCTGTCTAATCTTTGCAGTTGCTGTTGTCACTTTGATTCCATGTAGATAGCTCTTAAAAGAACACAGTGCTCAAGGCAGGCAGGCAGGCAGTCTTTACTAGTTAAGCTAAACTAACAGAGCACTGAGACTTTACTAGTTAAACTAAACTAACAAAGTACTGAGACTTTACAAGTTAAGCTAAACTGTCTGGTTTAAAGACTTCAGGAGATATTTTTGGTTGAAAGTTTAAAGATTATCTCAAGGCAACAGTTTCAGGGGTTTATGCAGTCTCAATGGCTCCAGAAATTCTAGATTCCATGAGAATTTGAAAATTCTGTTCTGTACTTTTCCCCTTTTGATCAGAATTATTCTAGACATATGATTTTTTAAGTGTATGTGCAGGTGGGGTGGTAGGGGACTGGGCAGAATAACTGTTATTCAACAAATGCAGCTGAAAGCCTCCTGTGAGAGTCAAGGGGAAGAAGTAACCAAAGGAGCCTCCTGGTGGATAAACTGGGAGCCACCTCTCAGGCCAGTCTTGGAGGCTGCTCAATTTAACTCCTTAGGACCCTCATAGGACTGGAAAAAAACAAAGAAAACCCCACTCTGGCCTAGTTGGATATAGTGTGTGTTGTCCCCTACTAACAGGGCTTTCCTAGGGTTTCAACCTGTGAGGAAAGACAAGTGACCTTATCTGGTCTTCTACCCTGACACCTACATGCAAGATCCTCAAAGCAACAACAGCTTACATTTACACAACAGCTTACATTTACTTGTGCTTTGTTATGTACCAGGCACTGTGCTAGGGCACTGTGCTAAGTGCCTTATAGTCTCTGAATTCTCACAAAAACCTAAAAAGGTCTATTTCTACTCCACTTTACAGATGAGGAAGCTCAAGAGTTTGGAGAGGTTAAGTAATTTGCTCCACAGCAGCTTACACATGGCAGAGCCCAGATTTAAGCAGTGCCAGGGTAGAAGCTACCTGGCAATATGCTGCCCCACACACAAGGAGGTAAAACTGAGCCCTGAAGAATGGCTTCATAAAGTAACTGGCAGCCTACCTCTCCACGACGGTGAGAGCATCATTGAAGCGAGCAGCAAACACATCACCAATAAAGTACTCAGCTAAGCGGCCCACAGCCTGCAGCAGGGAGCTCAGATCTCTCAGGGAACAGTGCAATCGCCGGCAGTCATTCTCCGCTGTGATGTTCAACCTGTGTCCTGGAACATAACACCTCCGACAGTTTTTCATAGGAAGAACACACTTTAGTTACCACTACAGATAACAGGTCATCCAGACAAGCTATACTTAGCAGAACCAATTTGCTTTCTCGAAACAAAGCAACCCACAGGCTGCTTCCCATTACTGAGCGGGGAAATTCCACAGAATCTCCACCTGCAGCCATACCCACAAGCAGGGAAGAGACCAGAGGGTAGGACACAGAGAGGAGGAAGAGACAGACAGAGCGGAAGAGGAGGGACAGATCACCTAGGCACACTAACATAGAATGAACAGTGATTCCTCTTGACCCTGTGAGCTACAAAAAACCAAACTCATTGCCATCGAGTGGATTCTGACTCATGGTGACGCCCACTGGGTTTCCGAGGCTACATATCTTTACCAAAGCAGGCTGCCCAATCTTCCTTTCGCAGAGCAGCTGGTGGATTTGAACCGCTGACCTTCTGGTTGGCAGCCAAATGCCCTAACCACTACGCCACCAGAGCTCCTTTATGAGCTACAGATACTGCCAATTTTACAGACAAGGAAACACACCAGGGGAGGCTTGGAAACTCGCCTGCCATGGATCGTGTTTCTGAGGCAATCCTGGATTCTAAGCTCAGTCTGTGACTCCAGGCTGCTGCCTTTTCCACATGAACCTCATACAGAATAAAGTCCCCATTGGCTGACAGACAGGATTCAGCCCTGCTAAAAGAAATGGGGGTACACTCAGCACTGACCCCGGAAGATTTTTAGGTGGCACAGTATGGAATAGGAGGCACAGGACTTGAATTCAGAAGACACAGATTCCCAGCCACTTCCTGGCTCTGAGCCTCATTTCACCTTCTAAGTTTCAGTTTCCTTGTCTGTAAGATGGAAAAAAAAAAAAAATGCTACTATTTAATGTGCAGAACAACTATAAGGGCTAAATTAGAATACATACAAAGCCCTCCAAACCAGAAGGCATTATTCAACGTTTGTAATTATTATGAATAACAAAGAACGTGTGATTTTTGAAGGTCTGAAACTTTCTTACTTTTTGCCAATCATTTCTTCAACCCAAACAGGAAGGATGCCAAAACAAAGGATAAAACATCCACAGTGGGGTCACCTCCTGGCTCTTGGCTCTCTCTCCTCACAGTGTCCAGAAGACCCCTAAGCCTGACACAAAGCCCTCCTCATCCATGTAAGCACAGTGTAAGCCAGCAGCCAGCACTGTAAGAATGAGGCTGGGCAGCTACAGGAAAATCACCAGCCCGAGGGGGCTTCCAACTCCAACTCCCTGAATACTTTTCAGGCCCATCCCCTCCTCTGCCTCTTCAGGCTCTTACTATCTCTTGCTGGTGGAGTTCCTCCCATGGTGCTCTGCAACCACCTTCCTAGAACCCAGATCTAAGCACACAGTTCCCATAAGCAAAGTGTGAAACCCTTCAGGGGCTCCTTCCAGCTAAAGAGGAAAGTCCAGCCTCCCCAGCGTCAACTATTAGATCTCTCGACTCTGCTCCACTGCTCTCTGTACTTCTCACAGCTGTCTTCTCCGCCTGGTCTGCCCATCACTGTATCCTCTCTCCACTCAAACCTCGCAAGCCTACGTATCCTATCCTCCAGACTCACGGAAGCATCATTTCTTCTCTGAGGGCTTCCCTCCCCACTCCCAACAGAGGGAACGTGCTTTCTTGCTCTCCCTCACTCCCCCATGGGAATGTGCACATGTGGAGGTAAACAAATGATTTACAAGTCTGTCTCCCTACTGCGCTATGAACTCCTTAGTGAGGGGCTATGCAGCATCCTGTCCGTATGCTCAGCACCCAGCACGGTGCCTAGTGCAGAACGGGTGACCATAAACACATGAACGAATTAGATACCACAGAACAGACAGCACACTACAGCGGGATGAGGAGGCTGGGGAGTTAACTTCCTCATACTCCCTATAGGTGTATTCACTTGGATAATTTAAAGACAAATATGGATGAGCACTGTTTGTGGACAGGAGAACAACAAGGCTGAAAACCTATGAAGAAAGTGGAGGCTGAAGTCACAAGTTTAATACTTCAGCCCCCTATACCAACGTCCAAGTGGTGAGGCTGGAACAGAGCTTGTGAGAGTACCCAAGGGAGGGCAGAGTATCCCCGGGCAGGAGCCTGATAAAGCGGAGATTTCAGTCAGGGATGGGTTATAGCGGGGCCACATGCTGCCAGGGAACAGAAGAACAAAAAGAAGAGGCAACTCAGGGAAGGACCTTACAGGAAAAGAGCCAATGGCAAAAGCCAGCTTTGACCTGCCCCAAGTCACCCTGCTTCTTTCTACAGTCCACATGGAGAGCAGTGTCTTGGCATGGAAAACAGAACTCTCAGCCTCCAGGCAGCCACAGGAGGCCAACAGTGGGGGTGTCTAAGGAGAGTGAACCAGCTCTAAGTATAGAGCAAGAATAACTCACTCCACATGGCCGGAGGAGCCCAGAGAACAAACGGAACCAAGAGACATTTCTGGTCACGCTTAGTCCCACAGGAGGGAGCAGTGCCTTCGTGGGCCACAGAAGGAAAGGCACTACTCTCCCAGTTAACAAGGTGCCACAGTGACATGCCTTCTGAATGTCGATGGGAGCTTCGGACTATGCCTCACAGATATGTAAACAGACTCCAAGCTTAAACGCCTAAAACCTGGGGTTCCTGTGCATACCAAGTAAACTTCAGGGTTATGTGGAAAACACAGCCTAGAATTGGGTTCAGAGGTATCACCACCAGCTTTTCATTCCAAGAGTAATGGGGATAAGTCATTGAACCGGCATCAACTGCCCCTCACCCTCCCTGTATGCACCTTCTTCATTTTTGGCTCATCTCCTACGAAGCTCTAACTTGATCACTAGTTTTCAATTTATTCATGTACTTAATGTGAGAACTAAGCACCCAGTTCTTAAATATATTAAGGAGGCAAGGGAAATAATGTTTCTCTTTTAAAAACCAAACCAAAACACCACCCTACACTAAGTTTTTTTTTCAATATGGTATTTAATAAACAGTTATTAACGAAAAAACTAAACTCACTGCCATTGAGTCACATCTGACTTATAGTGACCTCTCCCTTGGGTTTCTGAGGCAGTATCACTACAGAAGTAGATTATCCAGTCTTCCTTCCAAGGAGAGGCTGGTGGGTTTGAACTGCCAGCCTTCTGGTTAGCAGTCAAATGCCTTAGACACTATGCCACCAGAGCTCCTAAACAGTCAGACAACCTAAAGGTTATTGTGACCAAGACCTTTTGTTCCTTGCACCCACACAAATCCATCTGATGTGTGAACCCTCCCTGCAGCATGGCTTCTTCCCCACCCAACCTCTTCCCAGCCACCTCTACCAAATACCGCAGAGCTCAAGGCCTCTTAAAGGAGCCCTTCCACGTTTGGTCAGCTTGGTCAAAAGACACAGGAATAAATCTGTCTCCCTATAATTCCTCCTTATAAAGCCACATCCCTTGACAAAGGAACACAAAACAAGCCTAAGCCTGATGATATATGACTGCCGTGGGGAGATGGGAAGGCAGTGGTGACATTCTTTCAAATCTCTTCTCAGTTTTAAGATACTCCTGGGTCCCTTCCATTTTCCATGTCATGCTCCTTCTAAGAATCCTTGGTATCCTTATCAGTTCTCTCTAAAACTGCCCTAGTTTGTCAACCAAAGTGTGGCACCCAGAATGGAAAACAGTGTGGAACTGCTGTGTTATTATTATTATATATATTTTTTTACACTATTAGCTTGAATCATAAAATTGTTGCTACCTGACCATTTTTGACTTAACCAAACTCCAATCAGAGAGTTCAACTTAAGACATATGTGCCATCTATGGTGTTAGGGTTTAGGTTAGTCAGAATCACAGCTGGTTTTTTCTCTATCTGCAAGTAGACAACACACAGGCAGTAAGCACTTCAAATCAAAGCCCATCCCTACAGCCTAGAAAGCTATTATCACCACCACAAAACCAGGCTAGGCACTGAGCAAACTTAAGAGTTCCCACTGTGAAAGGCTGTTCAGATCTACTCACATTTTCTTCTATTTGACTAAGGCTTAGATTTTCCCCAATAGCACAGAACATCTGCAAAGCAGGACCTTCAGATCAGAGTACTGCTATATATAGGTTCAGCAGACAAAATATTACGGTGATACTAAAAGAAGTCCCATCTTCAATAACCAAGTCATCCTAATGCCACCCAGATGAACTCTAAGTTACCCTGGGGAAATCATTACCCTAGGGAAAAATGTTCATGTTAAGCATAATTCAATCTTCTCTTCTTTGGAGGGTTTGGGAGAAGACGGGGGAGGGGGGTAGTAAAAATTATCACATGAGGTAATCCATTCTGAGAACAAAGAAGTCATCAATGAACACAATTAGAATAAAGAATATAAGTCCAAAAAGTTTATATAATATAGATGAGAAGATCTCTCAGGTAGGAAAGCTTGCACGGCTAACTGGGAAAGTTAAAGGGGTTACTCAGAGCAGAAATACCACCCCAACAAGGGAAGGTCTCAGTGAGGAGCAGCAAGAGGCCAAATATAAAACGGACACCTGAAGGCCACACGGAAAGACAGACGCCATATAAGAGAAATGGCAGCCAACGAGAGGGCTTCCTAACGTACAAAAGTAGGAAAAACGACAGCAAGAGCACAGGATCACCTCCCCGGGGCCAGCGAGGCACACGGTCACTGATGTGCCACGACAACACACAGGGCCACTGCTCCTCTGAGAGAAAATCAGCAACAGCAGAGCAAGTGCCAGGAAGAATGCCGAGTCTTCTGGATTTGAGTGTTCTAACAAAATCAGGGGCCTCATAGGTTTCACTGCTGGCCACAACAGACACCTTGTTGTTATAAACGACCACGGCACTAGCAGAGTGCAAGAAGCCTGGCCGACTCCTACCTACACAGGCTCCTAAAGAGATCTAGGGATTACAGTCAGAGCTAAGAGTAAATGCAAGTGAAACAAATGGACCACAACCTATGAGGGGAAAGGACAACATGGTTGTTTTTAAGAGGTAATCGGGCTGACTAACACAGCATGGTGATTTGCAAGGGTAAATGGCCATGGGCACTGGGAAACAAAATGTGCTCAGAGATTCAATGTTTTAAATAGTCTTGACATTGGAAACTTGGCTTTTGAGCCACCCAGTGGTGGGGGAATGCTTTGTCAAGGATAAGAGCCCTTTTAAAATAGGAAATAAGCAGCTGTCTGGCCAGAGGTTCTGCCACTGGAGCCCGCGTCAAGGATCAGTGCTGGGGATGTGATTCGTAATTGACCTGGGAGAGTCGAGCACCCCGCAAAACTGCCAGCAAATGGACTGCAATGAGGCAGGTATATTTCACTTAGAGAAAAACAAATCCGATTATCCTTCCAGGAGAGCAGCTCTGAGTTAACAGTTATATCTCAGAGAAAGGATTTAAGACTCACTACAGATTTCCACCTGAAAATAGACTCCCTGTAATATAAAAGTCAGCTACTATACTGAGAAGGAAACGTAGGGGTCAATATTTTCTTTTATTGCTTTTTTTTTTTTTTTTTTAAGACCAAAAATAAGGTCTTTAGGGTTCTGAGTATATTCTAATTTTAATAGTGGACCTAAGAGGGGGATCACGTGAGAGCAATTATTCCTAAGACAGGATGCTGGAGGCATCAGCCTGTATTATTTGTACTCAGTCAAATAATTTTCATTAGTTGTGACAGTATATGCTCCGGGCAAGTTTGTTTTGAAAATTATCTTTTAAAATCCTATATAAGCCATTCTTACCTGATCCCCAAAGTCAGGGCCTATACTTGGGGCATGCTGAGTTCTGTCAGCCTCCCAGGGCCCACATTACTTAGAAGCTAATACCATCATGGAAATGAGCCAACAGGGACCAGAAAGAAAGGCAACCTCAGAAAGAGGCTCCTGTAGAGGCAGGCCATGAAAACCAAGCTCCGCAAGGAGCAAGCTCCACACTGTGGGCAGCTCCGTGCCAGGCTGAAACAAGGGAGTTACCCAGAGGGGTGAAGGCTGGAGCCAGCCGTGACTCTTGTAAGGAAAACACTGAATAAAAGTAGCGTGAAGTCAGAGAGTCAGAGAGACCAGGGGACGCGAGGAGAACGTGTGTTTGCAAGCACAGTATTAAATTTCTGGTGTTTTCAGCTGGCAAAATGAAGGTCCAATTCTTTCCACTTCCCATTATATGCCATGGTGGGACTAGCAGTAACAAACTTTGTGAATTAACATCTCTGAGCACCAATTTCTTCTGTAAAATAGGATTAACCAGTAATAGTCCTTACACCTCACAGGGCAATGATGAAAATAAACTGAAACAAGTAAACCACTGAGCACAGTGTCTGGTGTGTAATTAAGGAGAGCTCTACAAATGGAAGCCATTGTCATCACCACTACTACATTAACAAAAGGACAACAAAACGTGAACCCTAAACCCCATGCAGGTGAAACCTGCAAATGGCAGACCAAAGCCTTCCTAACCAGCTACGTGCAGCGCTTCCCAGGGGCCATTTACACCAGAGCAGCTACTACTAGCTTTCCGCCCGCTCCTCTAGGATGTGGCTCCGAAGCCATTTCCAGGTTCTTCTGATTCCGAAAGAGAAGAAGAAAGAGTCCACCACAGCAAAGTCCAAGGCCATTATTTTCCAGCTCACTTGCTGGTTTAAAGGACATAAGGAAATATTCCAATTGCTAGGGTTTTTAATAAATTCTACCTCTTTGCTCTAAATTAGCTTCTCTTCTTCCTCATTGAAACCCTCTTTAGAATGTATTGTCATAACCCCGCCTTTTACTTCCCCCACAGCTCCCTTTAATGATTTTTTTTTTAATTGTTTTGTTTAGAAGTGGGGAGAGACGGAGAGGCGGTGAGGCAGCAGTGAAGAAATCATGTTCCGACAGCAAAGAAGGCAGTAATTAAGTATTAGTCCAATCTATTTGTTGCTGTTGTTGTTTAGTTAAATTAGAAAATGAAAACCAGTTTACCTGACCCTGAAGTAACTATAAATTGCTGTAAACCCAGATAAACTTCTAAATTGTCCTGAAGAACTGGGAACTGAAAAGAAACAAAGGTTTTTTAAAAATAATAAAATGCAAGTTTTAACATTTTAACATTAAAATATTTCAAATACCTATGAACGGAAGAAAGGGGATCAAAAACTTTCCTCTGAGAACCTTTACATATAGCTAAGAAGAAGCGGTTTCCCCTCCTACACCCCCACAATTGAAACCACCAATTAATATTTGCAATAAGAAAACGACACATCGACCCAATACTTTTTTTTTTTCCCCAAGCAAAATATGCTGAGGTGGAACTTTTCATTTCTAAGCAGAGGAAATCAAGTCCGAAATGATCTATACTTTCTGGAGCCCTGAGATGGGGCCCCATCCCACTTCAAATCCAAGGGAGACACCATCCTTCAGAGAACTCTCCGACATGAGTGGTCCAGCGAGAGACGTGACCCACACTATTGTGAAGGCAGCCTCCTTTAATGATTTAGCCAACAGGCTTCATAACCAGAGTTGTATCTTTTATTTCTAAAGCCACTATACTCACCAATGCCATACATTAAGATAAAAACAAGACTTTACTGTGACAGGCCTCTAAGAAAGGCAGACAAAGTAAAATGGCACTTCCATGACAGAGAACACAAGACACAACTGAGCTGCACCATGCAAGCACTGACCCTGATAAATTAACCTGCCTTTGAAGAAGAGATGGACTTAATGAAATCTCCTCAAGTAACAAGCATGACTTACTGTATGAATCAGTCCTTATGAAGAAAGATGCCAGCACTTCACCACAGGAGGAGAGAACCAGCAATCTGCTGAGGGTGAGCTTCACAGGCTAACATTTCAGCAATGTCACTTTGTAAAATTTTCTCATTGTGGTATGAACCAGGGGTTTTTTTGTCTGTTTATCTTTAACACTTTATTGTGGTTTAGGTGAAAGTTTACAAAGCAAATTAGTTTCTCATTTAACAGTTTATACACAGATTGTTTCAGGACATTGGCTGTACCTCCCTCAATGTGTCAGCACTCGCCCCTCTTCTACCCAGGGCTCCCTGTTCCCACTGGCCCACCTTTCCTGCCCCTGTCCTGCCTTCTGAATTGTATTTTTGGGCAAATGCTGCCCTTCTGGTCGCATATAGATGAATGTTTCAGGGAACACAGTCCTCAAAGGTGTTAAACTCATATTGCTCCCTTTTTCGACCTGTCTGTTGTTTGGCTGTAAGGTGTTCAACTAATTTTTATAAATAACATCTCCTGTATTTGGCCTGACCACTTTCCGGCTACTGGTGAAGGCATTACAGGATTAGTAATATTCAAATTAAAACCAAGAAGTGGGACAGAAAAACAGAGCTTCCAAAGTTTGGTTTAAAATATTTTTGATACAGGTGAGCAAACCAGCCTTTCTTGTCAAATTATATGTGAAGGGATGGAAATAGATTCTTCATTCCCCTCCAGATGGTTGGTTAGTTACCAGTGTTGAGAAGGCATGGGTGGGAAGGAGCTCCATCACTTTGGCCACCACCTCCAAGCTCTGGCGTAAGTACCGCTGCCACTCAGTCTGCTGCTGTGGGGAAAATAACAAAGGAGTCAGCTCTCCTGACAGTACAATCTGTAGTCATCTCTCCTGCCAGTCTCAAGTCCACCCTCAGACACAAAATTTGAAGAAATGTGAAATGATGGAACCAGGTTATCTGGTACTCTAAAAAACCCAAGCTAGAATATCTTCTACAATTAATTTCATAAAAAATCATTTCCTCGGGAAGTAAAATAATTGCAAATGATCCATGTAGAATAACCGACTTTCCCTTCTAGAATTTCAGGAATTTAGGGAGATGCTTGTGTCCTCTTTAGAGCATCCAACCCACACTAACTGGTCACTCACTGCCTTCTGAGACAGTTCATTTCTATACTCACGTAAGTGTTATATGATTCAATTGGTGCCACTCAAAGTATGTTCGACTGAGGCAGGCAACCTCACCTGAAGCAGCACCACCCGGAAGCCTGTTACAAATGCAAACTCTCAGGTCCCACCCTCAGACCTACTACATCAGAATCTGTTTGAATAAGCCGTCCTGCTGATTCTTACCAACACTCAAGTTTCAGAAGAACTGGCCCAAATTATAGTTCACAAGAAGTGACAGTTTACCAAGCATCTATTATAGACCAGGCACTTAGCTGGTGTTTCCCACGTGTTACCTCACGTAACTGTCACAACTCATCATCAGCAGGGCGTATCACTTCTCTTTTGGGAGACGAGAAAACTAAGGCTCAGTGAGATTCAAAGCCTACGTGTCCATCTCCTCTGTGCCCAAGGTTGTAGAGATTCAAATCCAGACCATCTGATTCCAAGCCCGGAGCTCTTTCAACCCAAACCATGGCTACCCTTCAAGTTCCTGATCATACTCTATTTTGAGAACTATTATCAATGACCTGAAAAATTTTAAGTGCCTGGTGATGAAGAAAAAAAAACTCTGGGGTTGGTTGGCTTTGTCTTGAAACAGATTTTCCTTAACAACGTTAGGTATGCCAGCATCAATAAATGCAGGATTTATTTTAAAGGTATCAGTTAACAAATAAAATATACTCAAAACAGATTACATTTCATTTTCACCTTATCAGTTAAGCATCTCTGTGTAACTATTTCTACTAGTATCCAGCTAGCTTTTATCTGTTCCCTGGATGCAAGGCAGGGGAAACAGCACAGATATACAGAGTTCTTATTAAAGCACTTTTCACTTTACATAAGGTTTCTCTACATGCCTCCCTGGTCCATGTAGGTAAAAGTGTTTATAAAACTGTTTTCACATTAATGAGCTCAATGAGACTAGCAGGAGATAAATCTTTCAAATGTACAACTCAAACCATAATACAAGTACCACCTGTCTCCTGAGCAGAGGGATTAAAGGTTCCAGGTCTCGATTCTGATTCACGGCCCAACACGATGACGAGTAAAGGTCAGCCAGAGTGCACTTACATCGTCATCCAGAGCCTCATCATCCAGCTCCTCCAGCTGGGCCTGGTTGTATCTGAACTGGATCCGATTCAACACCTCCGTGAGCAAGAGGACCAGGGCATCTTCGTACCTATATGGCAGAGAGAAATTCAAGATCAGGTGAAAGGAGGGTATGAGCCTGAAATTTCAAAAAGGCCTCCTGTCCTAGGAAGGGAATGGCTTGCATGCTGAATGACCATATACAAGCAGCATCTAAACGCCGAGCGCTTATTTATGGGTTGGTAAGTACATATGTGAGTGGGACACAGCAGGGGTGTTTATTTATTAAACTATGTACCAGGGAGTATACAGCTGTAGGTAGACTGACTCTCTTATTGTTAGATAATATCTTTCTTTGTCTCTGGTAACAATTTCTTTGTCTCTGTGGTCACTGTTTACATGGAAGATCTTTTTCTATCCTTTTGCTTTCAACCTGTTTGTGTCTCTGAATCTAAAGTCAGTCTCTGGGAGACAACATGTATTGGGGCCATGAATTTTCATCCACTCTGCTGGTCTCTGCCTTTTAATCTTTCACATTTCATGTTATCACTGATAAAAAAAAAAAAAAACTTATTTCTGCCACTTGCTATTTGGTTTCTATGTTTTATGTAATTTTTATTCTTTAATTCTTCCTCAACATCTTCTTTTCTGTTAAGTAGATATTTTCTAGTGTTCAATTTTCCCCTGTTGTTTGCTTCTTTTTACTATGTATTTTTAAGTTGCTTTCTTATTGTCCTGGCGATTATAGACACCATACATAAATATGAATTAATTCAATTACTAATCCTTTTAAGAGCTGTGGGAGGGAGGTGGTGTCAGTGCCATCTTACTGATGAGGAGAGCATAGCCAGCCAAAGTTAAACTGCGAGTAGAAGAGCGTCCCCTTCAGACCCGAGAGCAGCCTGCTTATTGAAAAGGAAAACGCTACTTAGAAGAATTCTATTATCTCCAAATTGTCTAGCTGAGCTGGAAGAACATTTAGACGTTTGGTAGGTCACACAGCCAGCTGATTTAAACCCAGAACCACCTGATTCAAAACCCCAAGTTCTCACTACATATTAAACCAACAGTGGACTTTGAGCCTGTCTTATGCCCCCTTCGAAACATAATCATTAGCCAATCTTAAGAAGACTAAAAACTATAAGGAGAAATGGAAAAGGCATAGCAAACTCTGACCATTTTTATCTGTGTCTAAGAATAATTTCTCTAAGAAATACTCAAAGCCTTGGGTTTAGATATTTCCCACATGAGGTAAGAATCTAACTCAAGATAGCCAATTATACACAGCAGTTACTCCAAATTACCCCTGGGCCCAAAGGCCACTAATTTTCAAGAACGAATCATGTTCCTTAACTATTTGCCTGTGCAGAAACGCTTCTAAGATAAATCGAGGGACTGCTCCCACTCATAAAGGCTAACCATGCCTGCTTATTATAAGCTATGGTTTCTGAGATCCTAGTCACTCTCCGCACTTTGTGATGCTGGGGCTAAGACTATGCAAAGCACATCTCTCCTCTGCCATTACGGCCCATGGAGGAAGGCCAGAGGCAGGAGGCGGCGTGAAGGAACTTCATTCTCCCTGTGAGCTAGCTGTCCCGGCAGCACTGCCCCAGCAATGACCAACTGGAGCACCAACTGGCCCAGCTTCAGCATCATTCCACACTCCTAGAACCAGCCGCATCATGCATCCTCAGAGGTACCAACAGCAGCTGGGTCACATCTCCTCAAGGAGTGAGTTTCAGCTCCATGGGGCCCCTGCTCTGAGGTCCTGTGGCAGCTGTGTGGGGCCATCTCCTCAGAGGTCTGGAGCTATCACTACATGGGACCCATCCCTCTGAGGTTCTAGATTTTGATAACCCAAACCTCTTTCCTCTGCACCCCCAGCCATAGGGATGGGCTTGTTTCCTGTAGTTGTCATCTGTGTTATCTCAGCACTTCCCTTTTGCTTCTCGAGACCTCTAAAATGTGTTCAAGGAGCTCTGGTGGCATAGTGCCCACGGCATCTGACTGCTAACCAGAAGGCTAGCGGTTCAAACCCACCAGCCACTCCTCGGAAGAAAGAATGGGCAATCTACTTCCATAGTGAACCCCGCCTTGGAAACCCAAGGAGGAGTCACTATCAGTCAGATCCAACTCGACAATAGTGAGGTTTTCTTTTTTTTTAAAATGTGTTCAATTTCCTACACTGAATTATCTATTACAATAATTAAGTATAGTTTCTAATTTTCTGACAGGACCCTGACTGATACACCATCTAATCTAACTCAGGTGATACTGGAACACCAAGATATTCAAAGCCAAAAGGCATCTGATACCAAGACCAAACATATTCCATCCGGTCTAAGAATTTTAACCCATGTGATAAGCCTCTGTAAAGACAATCTAAAGACCTCCTACAAGTCCACCTAAACTGTGGCATTTCAGAGTTTGGTTGACCTAACAGTTCAATTCTTGACTAGAGACAGAGACTCTGGTCTGCCCCACCAATCTGTAACAAACGACTTAACAACGTAACAAAGCCAGTCCTGGACAAGACTGGCAACAGAGCACAGCACTGGAAAGAATGCTGGCAGCACAAGTTACTAAAGTTGGTAACACCAGTGAGGAGAAAAAGAATCAAGACTTCACAGGAAAGTAAGATCACACACTTACACTTGGTGCTTATATTTGTCATTTGATCAGCTACAAATTCCTAAAGTTACAGAAGTTTCATGTTATAAATTGCTATGGTGAACCAAACATTCTCACAACATTGCTAGGAAAGAAAGTCTACTTCAGACCACAGAGCAGCCTGCTTAAAAAAAGGGAAAATGCTGATTAAAAGAATTCTGTTATCTAGAAATTTATCTTGTGGAGCTAAAAGAACATTTAGAGTTTCTATAAAACCCCACCTTCCTAAATGCCTTATCATCAGCTGGCAACTGCCAAAAAACCACACCCTATCACTCAGAAAATTAAACCCAACCAGGAGTCAGACCGAATCCCACTTAGGTAGCTGATCTCCCAAAGTTTGTGGTCGGAAGTAGAATGGAGGGATATGGGGGGTGCTGGGGAGGCCCACACGTGCATGGGTATGGAAAGACTCTGGTTCCCTATCCAATGTCCATTCTCCCCTTCCTCCTCAGTAAGAGAACACTGGACACATCAAGGCCAACTGAGAGATTACATTTCCCAGCCTCCCATGAAATAGGAATAGTCAATGAGATACTAAAAGAAGTCACTGAGTGGTGCCTCTGGGGAAGTTTTTTTGCCCAATCTCTTCCCTTTCTCATTCCTGTTGCCTGAATCATGAGTGTGACATCTGCAGATGCAGCAGTCACCTTTACCGATGAGATGACTGTGCAGATGGAAGCCACGCCTAAGGCTGGTGCAATATAGGGGTAAAAAAAAAAGAATCCAAAATCTTACGTGACATACGAAGAATAAGGAGAACCTGTTTCTCAAGGGAAAAGATAATCAACAGATGCCCATCTCAAAATGACAGATGCTGGGATGCAGTGTAGTAAATTACATAGTGTGGCTTTTCTACCCATAAGTCTTCGTAAACTCCACGGTGGAATTTGTAAGCAACTGAGTAGCTCTTGACTGCTAAAGTTATCCACCTGGGGTATTTCTGTTGAACCAGCACAAAGCAGTCTTCTGGGAAGTTCATGCTCTCTCAGGCGTATAGAATTCTGATGCTGGGATTGGTTAGTGGTCATTCCACCAGGCTCAAAAGGAGCCCTTCTAGAGGCAGAAGGGGAGCTCTGGTGGCATAGTCCCTAAGGCACTTGACTGCTAACCAGAAGGCTGGTGGTTCAAACCCACCAGCCACTCCCCAGAAGGAAGGTTGGGCAATCTAGTCCCATAGTGATACTGCCTCAGCAACCCAAGGACAGGTCGCTGTGAGTCGGGTTCGACTTAACGGCACATAACAACAACAACAGCGGCAGAAGAGGTCTCTCTGACTGCTGGCTGAGAAAGATATGCTGCTGAGAGAAATGTGCTCCTGAGAAACATGAGAGACACACGCTGCTGACAGACATAACAGACACATACTGCTGAGAGAGGCTGAGAGATACTGTCAGCTGAGAGACGGCAGGCTGCGAGAGACTGAGTGCATTTCTGAACTTGAGTTGTAGCCTGTTGCCTCCCTAATAAACCCCATAATCTGTGAGTTCTGTGTGGCCACTGCAGCAAATTACTGAACTCAGCAGAGAGGTGGTGGGTGCTGTGGGAGGAATGGCTGATGTCAGGGTTGATGAAACGGCTGGAGAGAGGTGGCATGTCTGGCCTCACAGGGATAAGCCTTGGGCTACTGATGGTGATTCTGGTATTTTCAATAGCATCATAAGCATGTGAAAGCTGGACAATAAATAAGGAAGATCAAAAAGAGTTGATGCCTTTGAATTGCGGTGTTGGTGAAGAATACTGAAAATACCATGGGCTGCCAGAAGAATGAACAAATCTGTCCTGAAAGAAGTACAGCCAGAATACTCTTTACAAGTGAGGATGGCGAGACTTTACCTCACACTCTCTGGACATGTTATCAGGAGAGACAAGGTCCTGGAGAAAGGCACCATGCTGGGCAAAGCAAAGAGTCAGCAGAAAAGAGGGAAGACCCTCAATGAGATGGACTGGACACAATGGCTCCCACAATGGGCTCAACCACAGTGATGACTCTTGAGGACAGTGAACGACCAGGCAGTGCTTCATTCTGTTGGACATATGGTCACTCCAAGTCGGAACCAACTCAACAGCACCTAGCAATAACCACCACCACCACCACCACCCAACAACAGCAGAATACAGATTCTTTTCAAGTGCACATAGAGCACACAGCAAGAAGACTGGGTCATAAAACAAATCTTAGTAAATTTAAAAGAACTGAAATAACACAAACCATTTCCAAATTAAAGTAGAATAATAGAAAGATATACAGAAAAATGCTCAAGCATTTGGAAATTAAACAACATAGAGGAAGTCTCAAACAATATTATGAAATATTTTCAATTGAATGAAAATGAAAACATAACATTTAAAATTTTATGGATAAAGCTAAAGCAGTGCTTAGAGGAAAATTTATAGCATTAAATGTTTATATAAGGAGCT